CATTTTGAAATCAGGAAATGTGAGTCTTCTAACCTTGTTCTTCTTTTTCAAGATTTTTTTGGCTACTTGGGGGTCCCAAGGAATTCCATACCTGTTTTAGGATGGGTTTTTCCATTTTTGTGAAAAAGGCCATTGGAATTTTGATGGGGACTGCATTGAATCTATAGATCATTCTAGGGAGTATTGCCATTTTAACAAATACAAATATTGTAATACATGAATACAGGATGTCTTTCCATTTATTCAGGTTTTCTTTAACTTAATTAATATTTGGTAGTTTTCATTGTACAAGTCTTTTACCTCCTTGGTTAAATCTATTCCTAAGTATTTTATTCTTTTTGATACTATTGTAGATGAAATTGTTTTCTTAATTCCTTTTCAAGTTGTTCATTCATAGTATACAGAAATACAGCTGATATTGGTGTGTTGATGTTGTATATGGCAACTTTGCTGACTTAATAATGCTAGTAGTTTTTTTGTGGATTCCTTGTGATTTTTTTATATATAAGATAATGTCACCTGCAAATAGAGGTAATTTTACTTCTTTCTTTCCCATTTGGATAGCTTTTATTTCTTTTTCTTGCCTAATGGCTCTGGCTATAACTTGTAGTACAGTGTTGAGTAGAAGTGGCAAAGGTGAGCATCCTTATCTTGTTCTTGATCTTATAAGAAAAGTTTTCATTCTTTCATTATTGAGTATGATGTTAATCATGAGATTTTCATATGTGGCCTTTATCATATTGAGGAAGTTCCCTTCTATTCCTATTTTGTTGAGTATTTTCATTGTGAAAGGATGTTGTACTGCTGGGATAGATCCCACTTGGCCATGGTTTATAATCCTTGTTTTTTTTTTTAGAGACAGGATCTTGCCTAGGCTGGCCTCAAACTCCTAGGGATTTGGTTTGCTAACATTTTGTTGAGTATTTGTGTGTGTGTATATGTATACATATATCTCCATAAGGAATATTGGTGGGTGGGTAGCTTTCTTTTTTTGTGATGTCTTTGTCTGGCTTTGGTATCAGGGTAATGCTGCTCTCATAGAATGAGTTAGGAAGTGTTCCCTCCTCTTCTATTTTTTTTTTTTTTTAATGTTTGAGAAGCATTGGTGTTAATTCTTCTTTCAATGTTGGGGAGAATTCATTAGTGAAGCCATCAGGGCCTTGGCTTTTTTTGTTGGGCAATTCTTTATTAGTGATTCAATTTCTTTCCTTGTTATAGGTATGTCCAGATTTTCTATTTCCACTGGGTCAGTTTTAGTAACTGGTGTGCTTCTACGAACTTGTCCATTTCATCTTGGTTATCTAAATTGTTGGTGAACAGTTGTTCATAGTATTCTCTTACAATCTTTTTTTATTTCTGTAAGCTTGGTAATAATGTCCCCATCTCATTTCTAATTTTAGTAATTTGAGGATTCTTTTTTCCTTAGTCATTCTAGTTTTATCAATTCTGTTGATCTTTTCAAAGAACCAATTTTTGGTTTTGTTGATTTTTCTCTGTTGATTTTCTATTCTCTATTTCTTTTATCTCTGAAATAATCCTGATTACGTCCTTCTTTCTGCAAGTTTTGGGTTAGTTTGCTCTTTTTTTCTAGTTTCTTAAGATGCACAGTCAGGTTATTGATTTGAGGTTTTTCTTCTATTTATATGTAGGTGTTTTATAGCTATAAGTTTCCTCTGAGCATTGCTCTCACTGTATCTTTTAAGTTTGGTATGTTGTTTTTATTTCATTCATCTCAAAGTATTTCCTTTTTTGAGGTGAAGTCTTGCTCTGTTGCCCAGGCTACAGTGCAGTAGCATCATTATAGCTCACTGCAATCTCAAACTTCTGGGTTCAAGTGATCCTCCTGCCTCAGCCTCCCAAGTAGCTAGGACCTACAGGTGTGCATCACCATGCTGAGCTAATTTTTCTATTTTTCGTAGAGACATGGTCTTTCTATGTTGTTCAGGCTGGTCTCAAACTCCTGTCCTCAAGCAATCCTCCCACCTCAACCTCCCAAAATGCTAGGATTACAAGCGCGAGGCACTGTATCCAGCCTATTTTGCTATGTTTTTCTATATGCCTTATATAGTTTTTGTTCCTCATTTACTCCATTACTGCTTTCTTTTTTTTTTTTTTTTTGAGACAGAGTCTCACTGTGTTGCCCGGGCTAGAGTGCCGTGGCATACTGCTTTCTTTTGTGCTTAATTGATTTTTTGAAGTGTATCATTCTGATTTGCTTCTCGATTTCTTTTCTGTATTTTTTATTTTGTTAATAGCCTTGGGATTCCAATTAACATTTTAAATTATAACAATCTAGTTTGAATTAATATGAATTTAGTTTCAATAGTATACAAAAAGTTTGCTCTATAGGGCTCTGTATCTACCCCCTTATGTTATTATTGTCACAGTTTACATCTTTTAAGCATTGTGTGCTCATTAGCATAGGTTTATAATTATTGTTTTGTTTCATTTGTTTTGTTCTATGCATTTGTTTGTTTGGGGGTTTGGGGTTTTTCTTTTTTTTTTTTTGAGACAGAGTCTCGCTCTGTTGCCTGGAGCAGAGTACCGTGGCGTCAGCCTAGTTCACAGCAACCTCAAACTCCTGGGCTCAAGCAATCCTACTGCCTCAGCCTTCCAAGTAGCTGGGACTACAGACATGCACCACCATGCCTGGCTAATTTTTTCTATATAGATTTTTAGTTGTCCAAATAATTTCTTTCTATTTTTAGTAGAGACGGGGTCTCTCTCTTGCTCAGGCTGGTCTTGAACTGCTGACCTTGAGCGATCCACCCGCCTCGGCCTCCCAGAGTGCTAGGATTATAGGCATGAGCCACCGCGCCCAGCCTGGGGTTTTTTTTTAAGACAGGGTCCTGCTCTGTTCCCCGGGCTAGAGTGCAATCATATCATCATAGCTGACTGCAACCTCAAACTCCTGGGCTCAAGTGATCCTCTTGCCTCAGTTTCCTGAGTAGCTGGAACTACAGGAATTCACCACAATGCCCAGCTAATTTTTGTATTTTTTGTAGAGATGGGGTCTTGCTATGTTGCTCAAGCTGGTCTCAAACTCCTGGCCTTAAGTGATCCTCCTGCCTTGGCCTCCCGAAGTGCTAGGATTACAGGCATGAGCCACCACACCCAGCCTAAATTTCTACTTTTAATTGTTCACTGCCAGCATATAAAAATATAATTGATTTTTTGTATGTTACCTTAAATCTTAAAACCTTGCTGAATTCTCTTATTAGTTCTAGTAATTTTTGTGTAGGTTCCTTAGGATTTCCCACATATACAATTATGCCATATGCAAATAAAGACAGTTTACTTCTTTCATTCCCATAAATATGACTTTTAGTACTTTTTCTTACCTTATTGCACTGGCTAGGACCTTTTTACAATGTTGAGTAGAAATGACGAGGTGGGACACATTTGCCTTGTTCCTGATCTTAAGGGAAAAGCGTTCAAACTTTCACCATTAGGTAGAGTCTTAGCTATAGATTTTGTGCAGATGTTCATTCTCAGGTTGAATATTTTCTATTCCTAGTTTGTGAGAATTTTTATCATTAATTGGTATGGGATTTTGTTAATACTATTTCTACCTCTACTAATTTGACCAATATGTGTTTTTTTTTGTATGTAAATATGATGATTTACATTGATTGATTTTCTAATATTAAACCAACCTTGCATTCTTAAGATAAACCTTACTTGATCATGATTTGTTAACCTCTTATATACTGCTGGATCAAATTTGCTAAAATTGTGTCAATGAATTTTGCATCTATTTTCATGGACCCTTGTAGGTTTTTTCTTCTATTTTTTCTTATAAGTTCTTTATCCACGTATACCAAAATCTTACAGTTCTGGAGGTCAAAAGTCCAAAATCAGTCTCAGTGGGCTAAAATGTTCTTTTAAACTGAGAGACTTATTTTCAGTTTATGATCCAACTACCTTAAGAGAATGAGGAAAAAATCAGGGCCATTATTGCAGATATGAGACTACTAATATATATTTCAGGACTTTTTTTAAAAAAAAAAAGACAGGGTCTTACTATGTTGCCCAGGCTAGATTTGAACTCTTGGGCTCAAGAAATATTCCTGCCTCAGCCTCCTATGCACCTGCCTAGTCCTTCTTAAAAGATAGATAGATAGGCAGATTTTGCCTTCAAAGAAAAAATACCAGTGTAACTGGCTGTGAGGACTCCATTTTACCTGTATAGATTTTCCTGCAAACCCTATGCTTGTTTTTAAGTATAAGGAGAATGTCTTGCACCTTTCAATGTTCTCCTCTTCTTCTTAGTATTATAGCTTGTAATATCCCTCTGCCTTTACAGTCTATGAACTTAACTGATGGATGTCCAATGGTCTTTCTGAAAATATGATTTCCCTTCCTATGTTGCAGTTGAAAGTCGGTTGTTCAATGTTAACGGTAATTACTGATAGGGAAGGACTTCTTTTATTTAAGAAACTCTTTTATTTAAGAAAATTTTAAACTCTTTTTCCTGGTTGTAATACATAGTTTAGATCCAGCAAAATCTTCTTCTTTATTATTAAACTATAGTAGTTGTACTTCATTATGGAAGAGAAATATTTATTTCTTTTATAGATAGAAACTGGTTGAGTAATTTATTAGCACACCATTTTGCTGATGTTTTGAGTATATGAATGTGTCTTATAAGAATAGTCCTGGATGGGTGCGGTGGTGGCTCATGCCTATAATCCTAGCATTCTGGGAGGCTGAGGCAGGAGGATCACTTGAGCTCAGGAGTTCGAGACCAGCCTGAGCAAGAGTGAGATCCATCTCTACTAAAAACAGAAAAATTAGGTATGCATCATGGTGAGCTCCTGTAGTCCCAGCTAGTCAGGAGGCTGAGGCAGAGGATTGCTTGAGCCCAGGAGTCTGAGGTTGCTGTGAGTTAGGCTGATGCCACGGCACTCTACTCAGGGCAACAGAATGAGACTCTGTCTCAGGAAAAAAAAAAAAGTCTTTATAAAATATATTTTGTTCCTTTTTTCCTGCTCTTATAGAATAAAAATATTCAGCCTATAAAATATCTAATCAAACATCAGCAAGAAGTGAAGATTTATTTTCCCATCAAGCTTACACCCAACTTTCTGGCATTTCCTCATCATCCTATGGGAATGTTATATCGTTATAAAGTACAGGTATGTTTTCCTATAAGACTTCACAAAGAGATAAATCAATTTCTCTGATAGTTTAATTACTGAAATGTTATTAATGTTAAATTTTATTTCCCCCCAATCCTACTAGTATAACTCAGTTTTTGGTGACAACCAAATTATGTTCTTGAATACTGTCATCTGTAGAAAGACTTGGTGTGCTTTCTGTCTCTCTTCAATTTATCTTTTCCTTGCGAGTTTTATAAAGTTTTGTAAAGTTCCTTTATACCCTTTTTTGACATTTTGTGATACTGCTGTTAATTACATTAATTAACCTCCTTTTAGTATTTATCTTGCCTAGTAAGCTACTTTGCTATAGCATCTCAGTTTCTTAATGTGTCCAGAAAAAGTTTATTATATGGTTTCATTATTTCCTAAACTTTATATCACCAGCCAAGTTTTCATTTGATTTTTCCTCCTGTAGTAATTAAATATAATGTTGTGTTTTTTCACAGGTAGAGGGTGGTAGTGGCAACTTCACCTGGACCTCTTCTAATGAAACAGTGGTCATGGTCACCACCAAAGGAGTGGTGACTGCAGGTCAGGTCAGGGGGAACAGTACTGTTTTAGCCCGAGATGTACAAAATCCCTTTCGATATGGACAAATTAAGGTAGATGACTTTCTAAAGAACCTTCTTCTTACCCCTTAAATACTAATGTCTAAATTTAAGTACATTAACACATTTTACAAAAATTTCTAGTTCAACTTGGCTATTTAAAAATATTGCTGAAATTCAGTCTGCAAGTACATATTCCTTAAATATTTCTATAAATAATTCTGGGTTGAATTCTGCTTCACTTAATAGCTACTTATTTAACATCTGTGTTGTTTCCTCTTCTCTAAAATGGGGATAATGTTAGTATCTATCTCAAAGGGTTATTGACAGAATTATTAAAAAATGTTTTGTTTTTTTTTTTTGAGACAGAGTATCACTTTGTTGCCCTGGCTAGAGTGAGTGCCGTGGCGTCAGCTTAGCTCACAGCAACCTCAAACTCCTGGGCTCAAGCAATCCTTCTGCCTCAGCCTCCCGAGTAGCTGGGACTACAGGCATGCGCCACCATGCCCGGCTAATTTTTTCTATGTATTTTTAGTTGTCCGATTAATTTCTTTCTAATTTTAGTAGAGGCGGGGGTCTCTAGCTCTTGCTCAGGCTGGTCTCGAACTCCTGAGTTCAAACAATCCGCCCGCCTCGGCCTCCCAGAGAGCTAGGATTACAGGCGTGAGCCACCGCGCCTGGCCCTAAAAAATGTTTTTAACTGGAAAATTTTGAAAATAAAATGATGCGATGTATTCTATATTTACTGATTATAAAAACATATGCAAAACTGAAAGCAGTAACAGGTAACATTTAGAACATTTGCTACAGTGCTGTTTATGTTCAGAGAAACTTCTCTGTTAATGAACTATAAAAATGATCCCTGCAAGTGTAGTCTTTATTGGCAGAATTAAATGAGATAGTCTTTACCCCAGCACTAGGCATATATTCAATACTTGATGTTAGCTATTTTTGTTATAATTATGATACATATGTTCTTTAAATGGCCTTTATTGTAACTTTATTTCTAGTGTCATATTTTGGTTTGTCAACTCATTTCTAAAAGATTGAAAACTGTTTTTTACCATATAATATAACCATTTTCCTTTCTCTTTCTCTCTCTCTCTCTTTTTTTCCTTTCTGTCTCTCTCAATATAGAGGGGGTCTCTGTATTGCCCAAGCTGGTTACGAACTTCTGGCCTCAAGCATTCCTCCCACCTCAGCCTCCCAAATAGCTGGGACTGCAGGTGGGAGCCACCACCTCTGGCTAATGTTTTAAATTTTTTTTTAGAGACAGAGTCTCATTATGTTTCCTAGGCTGGTCATGGACTCCTGACCTCAAGCAATCCTCCCACCTGAGCTTCCTGAGTAGCTGGGACTATAGGCGTGAACCATTGCACCCAGCTTTTTCTCCCATTTTTAATATATGTTGCTGTTTCCTGTAGAACTTAGCATTTTGCCATCACTCAGTGAACATCTTTTGAGCATCCCCTAGGTATTTAAAACTGTATTAGGTATCATAGGACATTCAGGGATGCATAATCTATCATCCCTACCTTAAAGAATTTAAAGTCTAAGGCCGGGTGTGGTGGCTCACGCCTGTAATCCTAGCACTCTGGGAAGCCAAGGCGGGTGGATTGCTCAAGGTCAGGAGTTTGAGACCAGCCTGAGCAAGAGCGAGACCCCATCTCTACTAAAAATAGAAAGAAATTAATTGGACAACTAAAAATAGAGAAAATTAGCCGGGCTTGGTGGCGCATGCCTGTAGTCCCAGCTGCTCCGGAGGTTGAGGCAGGAGGATCGCTTGAGCCCAGGAGTTTGAGGTGGCTGTGAGCTAGGTTGACGCCATGGCACTCTAGCCTGGGCAACAGAGCAAGACTCTGTCTCAGAAAACAAAACAAAACAAAAAAACAACAAAAAAAAGAATTTAAAGTCTAACTAGAAAGATATATTCACATGAAAAGTTAAATAACATTTTAAGGAAATGATATGTGAGGTATTTTAAAGCAATATATGGGCCAGGTGCAGTGGCTCACTCCTATAATCTGAGCACTTTGGGAGGCTGAGAAGGGCAGATCACTTGAGGTCAGAAGTTCGACACCAGCCTGAGCAAGCTCGAGACCCCATCTCTACAAAAATTAGAAAAAATAGCTGGGCATGATAGCACGTGCTTGTAGTCCCAGCTACTCAGGAGGCTGAGGCAGGAGGATCCCTTGAGCCCAGGAGTTTGAGGTTGCAGTGAGCCATGATTATGCCACTGCACTCTAGCCAGGGCAACAGAATGAGACCTTGTCTCACTGGCATTTCCTCATCATCCTATGGGAATGTTATATCGTTATAAAGTACAGGTATGTTTTCCTATAAGACTTCACAAAGAGATAAATCAATTTCT